TATGGGGGAGGTTTTCACTGAGAAATTTTGGAATGTCTCAGTGTTTGATCACTGACAATCCTGCTGAACTTGGAAAATTTTATGATGATAAGAGTATAGAACTTGTATCTATTGATGAGTTGACAGCAGAAACTATATTAATTAGTTATATTAAAAAGAAGGAATGGGTGGAAGAGCATGATTGCTCTAATGTTATAATCTCTTTATGGACTACCTCGGCCGCAAGGCTTCACTTGTTAAAAGCAATGAAAAAGGTAGTAAGATCGTCCGGCTGCACTCTCTTATATACGGACACTGATTCTATTATATATGCCCACCCTGAAGAACAAAATCCTTTACAACTTGGGCCACATTTGGGGCAATTTACCGATGAATATCCCCATCATAATATACTTGAATTTTGTTCAGGAGGAGCAAAACAGTATGGATTAAAATTGCAGAAAAAGGTGGACGCCTCAGCTGAATATGAATACGTGTTAAAAGTCCGGGGCTTAACATTAAATTATGATGTGGTTGAAAATCAGAATCTTCGTTATCAGAAGTTTAAAGAAAGGGTCTTGAATTATGCTAAATTTGGAAGTGCTGAGAAAATTAATGTGATTTATCCCAATTTCCTCCGACCATCAATAAAAGATGGTCAAATCACGTCATATAGTCTTAATAAAATTTATAGACCCTATGTTTGTAAAGGGATAGTTTGTCCCTCGACCTTTCGTATTCTTGACTTTGGCTATGTAAACCCTATTCACCCGCGTATTCTTCCACCATGATTTCAAATTAGTTTTATCACTATTTGTTACATTTTTATTTAACTTTATTTGTTGCTTTTTTAAATTTTTTATTTATAAAATATACAATTTTTCAAAAATCAAACTTTAGAAGTAGGAAATTTTAAGGGAAAATGGCATACTTACAGATAGAATATACAATCATAAAATAATTAAAATAAGGAAATACAATTTAGAAAAAATTAAACTTGAGAAGTAGGTGATTTTAGACTGAAATATGCATATTTTTTAAAAAGAAGATACAATTTTGAAATAATTAAAATTTTAATAAAAAAGGAAAGATCAGTTTTAGGGGTAAATTTGCATATTTTGAATTTTAAGTTTTATTTTGTAAATTTTTGAATAAATTACCATCCAAGACATTTTTCATCGGCCTGGGAGCATTCATGTCGTCCACTGTTCTCGTATGTAAAATCATCCACTATTTCAAACTTTATATTCGATTTAAAAGATTCAGTTTCTTTCAATCCAGAAAACAAGTTTGCAAATTTATTATTAAGATTATCAACTTCTTCGTCAACAAATTCGAGAAGTTCAAGAGGGTAAAATCTATCTTTTCCAATCCCTCTAAATCTTTCAATTATGCATTGAGTAAAGGGATTTTTCAACCGAATCCCATGACGGCAATAATAATAAGCAGTTACAGATATATTGTAGGGTCGTCTAAATTTTCCAAATGCAGGAAGTTGATTAGCACCTTGTTTTGTAATTCCATCAATAAAAAATGTTTTTGTAAATCCATTTCGGTCTTTATAAATGGTCCGAACCTTTCGACCTCTTAATAAATTAAAAATTTTTTTATGGTTTGTAGGATGTCTAAGTTCATTTCGTAAAGCTTTTGCTCGGCATTTAAGTAGATTTGAACATTCTTCTATGACCAGGACCATTTTAATCAAAAATTAATGAATAATGAAATGGATAATTTTTTGGATATCACTTTTTCGAAATACTGATTAGACACGCCCATTTTTGAATCTATAACCCCGAAGAATTTTTTTAACCATAATCATTTAAATATTATTTGTTAAATCTTAAAATTTTTAATATGAGCGCTAATTCATCTGAAAATACAACTCCTCATTATAATGACGAGAATGAAATGCTTCCCGAGACTAATGTTCCACCTCCACCTATACCTAAAGACTTTATCTGTAGTTTTAATTTGTGGAAATTGGTAAAGCCTAAATATCTTATACAATTTTATCTTTGTAATGGTTGTCGAGACAATCTTTTCAAATCTCAAGACAAACTCAAACGAAATTTCAATGGAGTTACTATAAAGATAAATTTATGTGAAGAATGTGTTTCGAAGAATTGCAATGTCACAGATAATCTTTCATTAAAAAAATCCAATAATTGAAATTTAAAAAAATTTTATTATTATATATATTTTGTGTAAATATTATTCTTCCATTATATATAAATATTTGTAATAAAAATTTTATTTCCTTTTACACTTTAAATTTTTATTGGATAAAAGTTCACTTGTAGAATTTAAGATATATTTATAAATAGGCATTTTTTATTTTAACATTTGAAACTTAGAGATTTATTGTTGTGTAAAATATTATAAATATTGGAATTGTTGAATAATCAAAGGGAAAAAATACATTAATTAGATATGTCAGCATTATTCCTATTTTTTGGCACTTTTCCTCCTTTGTTTATCCTTTAAATTAAACCAAGTGATTTATGAGTAGAGGTTAAAAGGTTGAAAAGAGAAAGATAAAGCTGTTGGCATTCTATTTCTCCTTCTTATCCTTTGGTTACAACAGGTGATATGTTGGAAGTGTAAAAGCGCAAAAAATTGCTAATTTATTAATAGATGGAAAAATATAAAATGGGATATGTGAAAGGGCGGGGTAAGGTATATATATATATAAAGATCAGTATTTTGAACAATTCTCTCCTAAATAATAAAATAACCAAAATCCTACAATTAAAAAAATACTCAATGTCAACTTCTATTTCCGATTGTATGCGCGAGCTTCGAGCTCTTCGCAGTGCTATTGCCTTGCAGGATCGAATTATTTCCACACACGAAAGATCAATTGATCGACTTCGCACCCTAGTTATAGAAGGTGGACTTCGTCATGAAATTATGGAATCATGGGCTGAGCATGTCCCAACTGAACAACGATTTAGACGATGCTTCTCACCTATTGTTAGTCGAACAATATTGGCACAAAGAGTTCAACAACGTATAACTGAACGGCGTTTGAAGAATAAGGAAGCAATTCATCAGCTTCAATTACATGAATTTGCAATTGAAAGAAATGAGAGCTTTATTATTGAACAGAAAAATAGACGTGAAGGTATATTTTAATCCGAAATCTTTAGATCTTATATTTCATTTTTAGAAGCTGGCAATAACGATCGCCTTGAAAGTTACAACAAAATGATCATTGAAAAAATTGATAGGAAATTAGAGCGTCGTCGTGAACAACTAATTTTAGGACATCAGAATCTTGATATTCACAATGAAATGCAACGCCAATTTCAATGGCATTTTAGTTTTAAATTACCTGAAAAAATTTTTTGGGTTGATACGTGTGTTGTTTGCAAGGCTGAGGAAAATCCAGGTTTTATGGGTACATGTGGACACATATGTTTATGCAAAGAATGCTGTAATCGTCTACACTTAGATGCACATAATTCTGGAAAGGTTACGAGATGCCCATGTTGCCGAAAAATAACCGTATTTTTTAAATATGTTTTTGAACTATAAATGATTAAAAGAAACAACGACATAAAAGTTTGAAACCGATTTTGGACTAACATTTGCGGACATCCACTACCCTTTCAAATCATAAATTTGTTCTGAACATTTATATTGAAATATTTCCATTGCTACAGTATGGTCTTCCTTTTAAGTAATTTTTGTCCGCAAATGTCGTAATTACTACAATATTTGTTAACCTCGATTATTTAAGCAATTATTTTATTTGGTTAGAACTGAACTTTTCATAAAAATTGTATACCTCAATTATTTAAGTAATTATTTAACTATTTTATTTGGTATAAAACTGAACGTTTCAAAAAAATAAAAATTCCGGGGATTAAAAAACAATTTTTTCTACTTAATAAAAACAAAGGAAAAAACTTAAACAAAAATTTATTTATTTATTGAAATGGAAAATAAACATTTATTTAAAAAATTTTACATAAAAACTTAACTTTTATTAATATTCTTCCGCTTCGAACCGCATACTCTCTAAAAAAGTAAATTAAGGATAAGAGAGGGTAATAGTTTGGAATTCGACCCCTATCCTTCCTTTCTATTTTTCTAGTTTTTTTCTCAATTTATGGCAAATTATATTTCATTCGAAAGAGCTCAAAAAGGGCAGGGAAACGTTGAAAAAAGGGGCGAATTCCAAACAATTACCTAAGAGAATGTAAAGATAAAAAAAGAGGATTTAAAAAAAGATTAGCCAGCTAGAAAGATTAGCCAGCTAGAACACACCACCTAATGGCGTGGATCTTGGTCGACCCACCACCTAAAGGCGTAGATCTTCCTCGACCCACCACCTAATGGCGTGGATCTTGGTTGACCCACCACCTAAAGGCGTGGATCTTGGTCGACCCACCACCTAAAGGCGTAGATCTTCCTCGACCCACCACCTAATGGCGTGGATCTTGGTTGACCCACCACCTAAAGGCGTAGATCTTCCTCGACCCACCACCTAATGGCGTGGATCTTGGTCGACCCACCACCTAAAGGCGTAGATCTTCCTCGACCCACCACCTAATAGCGTGGATCTTGGTCGACCCACCACCTAAAGGCGTAGATCTTCCTCGACCCACCACCTGATCACTTGTGAATCTTCTTCGACCTGAACAACCCACATCTATTCTAGACTGACCAATCTTTTTTTAAATCCTCCTTTTTATATATTTGGAGGTATGGATATTTTAAAAATTAAGGCTAAACTTCGTTTTATGGTTCAGATCAGATATGGATGATTTATATGTCATTCAAAAGACTCGTCGAGCTCTTTCGAATGAGCTATTATTTGTATAAAAAAATTTTTATTGAAAAAAATCGCCCTTTTGGATCTTCGATTTTAGAGACCTATCTCAGTCCAATCAACTCGGATTTCGCTGATTTTAGTGTCTTTCGACTCAGCTGGAGGTGTTCTTTCGAATGTCATAAAATCCTCCATATATGATCAGAACCATAAAACGAAGTTAAGCAAAATTAACAAAAATATCTTACATTGTTCCTTGTTCGGTTCCTTTTCTTTTTTTTAAATTCTGAGCATTTTCTTCTTCTTCTGTTTGTTTAACGTTCTCTTGGAATGATTGAAGATTTAAGCCTTGACTGAGTAACTAAAAAATGAAAAATTTACATGAGTCTCATAATTTAAGTTTTATTTCTACCTGTTGTCTGTTTTCCCACATCCCCCAATTAAATTGACAAAGTCGTTTATTATCCTCCAATCGGGCTTTTCTCGCAGCTGCCAATTCAAATAATTTTTTATATGTTTGCTCCAAAAATTGCATTCTTTCTCTAACAACAGCTGGATCAACATGTTTGTAGCCTTCTGTATCGTCTCTAGAAAATCGTTCAGCTTGGCGATTGACATTTTTGACATGATCAGCAATTATGTTAAGATCAGATTCCAATAATGTATGTTTTTGTAATAATTCTTCCACATCCTTTACGTGTTGACCAAGTTCATCAGAATCAAGCTTAGCACGAAGTTCATCCATCTACAATATAAGAAGAAAGATTATTGACAAAGATGTGGAATTATCGTTTTAAATTTAAATTAGGGTGTTCAATATGAAAGGAGAAAAGAGTGAAATAAAAATAGGACTATTTTCTCCTTGGAGAATAAACTACGAAGTTAATCTTTCCCCAAAAATCCAATTTTAAATTTAAAAGACTAAAATCTAACCATTGCCAAAACTTTATCCATCTCATTGAATATTTTCTGAACAGTCAAACTCAATTCCAAACGTTGACGACGACCTTTTAGTAATTCTAGTAATTGATTCCAAAGGCGAAGAACGTGCTCTTTTCTATCATTAATACGTCCAATATCGTGATACTTTTCAATTTCCAATTCCCCAGCAATAGAAATAACAGCTTGAACACGTTCCTCACAGGCGTAAATATCTTTAAAAAATTTAAGGTAAATCTTTGAGATGAAATTCAATAAATTTTTAATTTTATAAAGTCAGTCAATCAATCAAAATTTATAATTTTCCTATGAAAATAATATTGACTCCAGAGATAACTATAAATTCTTACGCCCTTGAACTCATCTTAGCTTAACATTATTTAAAATATATCCAAAAACATTCTCTTACCAGTCTCAATAGCTTCATGTTTTTTATTAGCCGCCTCAACACTAGCCAGATCTGTTCCAAAGTTGTCTTGACTGACTAAACGTTGATTCTCTTGTAGCCAAGTTTCACTCATTCCAGCCTTTTTGTCAAAACCTGTTGCCAATTGTTCCAACTTTTCTATCTGAAATTTAATTTACAGTGGAAATCAAGAGTTAAAGAACGAGGAAGTCTCAAGAATTGCATAGATTATTCATAAACTAGTTTTGCCCCTGAAATTTACGGACCTAGTTTCTAAATGAGTGTATGAAATTGGTTGAATGAAAAATTATTAAACAAAAAGTCGATAAAAAATTTTTTTTTAAGATCCGGAAAAATCAATATCCGATCCAGAATTCCGGTAAACACTCATCGAAAAATCTTCATTACGGCCATTCCAAATTATCAGATTCGGGTAATTCCAAGGCTGGTCCCCCCCCCCCCCCCCTTTTTTCTGTTCTCCTGACCATTTTGAGCTTTTTTGCTTGACATACAATTTACAATATATCGTTCGAAAGAGCTCTTCAAGCTGAGTCGAAAGGTACTTTCATCGAAATCCGACTTAAATAAACATATTTATGACCATTTGTTTTAATCCCTTTCAACATCACAAGAAGCATGTCAATCGAGGATTTAGCTTCATAATTTTGATCAGAATCGCTAAATCTAACCGATCATGGTATCATTCTACTCAGCTCGAACAGCTCTTTCGAATGATATATTGTAAATTGTATGTCAAGCAAAAAAGCTCAAAATGGTCAGGAGAACAGAAAAAAGGGCTGACCAGCCTTGGTATTACCCAGATTCGTACCAAAAATTCATTTGTGATAAAGAAATAAAAAAAAACTTTTAAACAACCTCAAATTTTTCAACAGCCCCCTCCAACTCCTTCCTACGCTCATCTGCCAACTTTTTCAAATAATCATAATATGCACGAATTTCTGCTATTCTTAGAGGAACTGGTCCACTTCCAGGTATTTGTTCATTAACCAATTGCTGTCCTTGTTGTTGTAAATCATCAAGTGTTCGGCCCAGATCAGAAAAATTGTTCTCATCATTTTTGTGTTTGGCAAGAAGGCGGTTAGCAGAGAATAAATCTTGACCTGTATCTTTTTTAGCAAAAGCCTAAATTTTAAAACAAGTATTCTAAAAATAAATTTAAAAAAAAAACCTTCTCAAAATCTTTGCCTTGTTTTGAAATATCTTTTAAATTTTTAATTAATTCTTTTTCAATTTTTTTCTCAAGTTGTTTTTCCTCGTCCAAAAAGTCATCCAAAAAATTATTGTTTTTGTTGTTTTCATATTCAGCAATTAAATCGGGAGAGTCCTAAAATATTAAAAATCTTTTTTAGTCAAAAAATAAAAACCATATCCGAAACAGGCAGCCAGATATTGTGTTTTTTAGAGTAGTTGAGCCATTTAATATAATAAAATTTCACACCATTAATTGTTTTGTCTCCTAGTATACTTTCCACAACAAAATCCATTGCCTAAATTAATTTTAAAAAATCTCATTCCCGGGATCCCGTATCGGATATTATTTCAAAATTTTCTACGGAACGGGATCCCGCAGGATCAATCCCGTAAATCCTATAATACAAGTAATCCCGTTTTCAAATTTACCGGGATCCCGCCGGGATTCCGGTCAATTTCACAAAAATTTTTTCTATTATAGATATATTGAATATTGGCGAATTTAAAGACAATATCGGTGGATTTAGACGGATTAAGGGAGGAATGAATAGATAGATTGGTTGTAAAATTTTAAAAAAAAATTTAAGCGCTAAAAATACTTATTTAACATTAAATAAGAAAAAAATATCAAAAACAATTCGTTTTAATAACTCACTAAGATTTTCGCGGAAATTCAAATATGATTGATAGTATTCTAACTAAAGTGTTCCTCAAATTATTATTAAAAAAGAAAAAGATATTTGTATCAGTGGTGTGCCGAAAGTGATTTTAAAAAGCGAAAGGTAGAAATATAAAAAAACGAAAGTCCAAAAAAGGCAAAAATCGACAAAAGACGAAAGGCTAAATTTTTTTTAGCTCCACTATGAGTCTGAGATTCTTTGATCAAATAATTCAAAAGCCTTGTTTTAAACCTACAGATAATTAAATCAATAAATCTGGCATATCAGGGGATTTACAGGATTAAAAAGGATATCATAAGAACTTGACAAATATCGGGGATTTAAATAGAAGTCAGAGGAGGAAAAATTTTATTTGATTTTCTATTTTTCGATCTATAGACCTCTCACTTCGTTACTTTGAAAAGGGTCTGAGACTATTATAGCTAGAAAAAAATTTTTTTATTCAAATTGAAATTTATTTATCAAATCGAAGAATGTATTAAAAACATTTAGTATTTAGATTAATAGAGAATTGAGAAAAACCATTTGTCAAAAAATCAAAATATTTTTGTATTAACATTTTTTATGGGTCAATTTTAATTTTGTATTCATGCATAAATCGCAAACCATTTAAATAGCTTCAGGTACGACAAAATAGATTAAATCATCGTTATTCTTAATTAATGTGGAATGATGCAGCTGCATCATTCTTCGATTTTTAACAATCAGTCCGTGCAAGATTGAAACATTCTGAAATCCCCATGTATTGAAAAATGATGTAAATGTTTTCAACGCTGTTAAATTATTTGATTTAGTTCGGTGCAGATATGCTCCTTTGTAAAGTATTGGTAAAGCATTAGGATAATTTTTTAATATTCCGATTGCTTGTTCATGTGTTAAATAATTATTTACTGGACGATTTTGAAGAACAATTAGCCGTATCTTTAACTCATAACAGCTTAAAATATTAAATATATTTTATAGAATTTATCTGTAATTATCTCACTTTTTTCGAACATTACGTTTAAAATTTCGCCTAACCATAATATGAATATTAAGAAATTTTTAATATTAATATAAACAAATTTTTAATATTAATATAAAGAAATTTTTAAGAATGAATGCTAGTGTTAATTTTTTATTTATATGAAAATATCCTTAACTCCAGATTACGCAACAGTTTTACGATTTGTATTTTACAACATCTGACAATCTAGCTTGGCCATCGAGGAGAACAAGAAGAATAGTTATATATGTCACTAGGAGATTAATTTATGTTTATATTAAATACACAAACTATATACCAACAATTTCGGATAAATTTTTTACGATAATATTAGAAAAACAAATATATATTTTGAAAATTATTAAAACATATATTATTATTATTAAAGTTTTAAAATCTTTTCTTAATTTTCTTAATTTTCTTTTAACTCTTTTTCCTTCCTTTCAATTCATAGTTTAATAGTTGCAAATTCGACCTTCTGGTCTCTCTCTTCACTTGTCACATTGTAACTTGTAGTTTTCACTTCCTTAAGCTCAATGCCTTGGTCTAAAAGTAAAAAAGAATTTTCTTATTTGATTTAAACATTTTTTACCATTGTCGCCACGAGTTCCTTGTTTTTTGCAAAAACATAACATAAACAAATAAATCAACTGAAAATTTACAATAAAAACAAATACTATTAAATATATTATTTAAATAAATTGCCTGAACAAATAAAATTGTAAACAAAATTCCTAATATAATCCAAAAATAGAAAATAAACTCATTGTAAAAGTAATAATTGTCTAAATAATTTTCAACATTCTCAAGCTCATAATCATAATTAGGCAATTCAAGGAAATCTTCAATATTATCAATTGATTTGTGAGCACATAATAAAGGCTTTGAATATTTTAAATGTCTCCAGCATTGACCGTCGACAAAATTGCATGAGCAATTAAATTCGCGAATCCAAAACTTATTATTAAGGGTAACGGACATATTTTGATTTATTAAAATTTTTATAAGTAATTTTTGCGCGAGAATTCATATATATATATACCCATAATTATCTTGATTAGCAATCATTTTTACCCAATTTGCATATATATTTTTTAATATATTCAATTTTTAAACACGTGTTTATATAATTTTATTCTTTCAATTGTACTATTATTCTTGCCAAATTTTAAAGAAAAACAAAGATTGTATTTACTTAAAAACAACATTAAAAAGAACAGATTTGTTTTTCTTTTCTTTTAAAAAACAAATGTTTATACTTCAACAATTTGATTCCTTTGTTAAAACCGACAAGTGTAATACAATAACCAAGGGTTTGATTTATTTTGAAGACAAATTCCGACAAAACATAAAAAAAAGTGTCAAGTATAGATTTTACTTGTAATTTTTGATTTGTGAGGTTTATAATAAGTGACTAATTAAGTTGACAATCATTATCTCATTGTACGACGACAATCAACCTCTTTTTCCGCAACCGACTGTGAATAATTAACCTAATCCTTTTAATTTGACGACAAAATGTGACTTTGATTTATGAGATAATTAATTAATTACGGCGACAATTATACCTTTAAGATTTGCGCGACGATTCCCCCACAACCACTTGTTAACCCCTTAGGATTTCCCTCAAAACAGCTGTTAAAATGCTTCTTTTCCCTTTGGTTTTCCCTCCAACCCCTTCTTATCCTTTTGACTTTTCCTCCGACCATTTCACATCCTTTTGGTTTTTTTTGACGACGACAAAAGGTGGATGTAGACTACTGGTATCCATATAATATAAAAATAACTTTACTTCTAATCCTTCTATATCCACATACGGAGGATATTATTAGTCATTAAATGATCTTTAAATAAACTTAAATCAACGCCTAGAGTTAATTACCTCATTCAAATACTGATGATGATTGAATAAAATTTTTTTTGAAAAAAGACTCGAAAAACTCGACCCGCTCGAAAAAATCTTAGCTCGAAAAGCTCGCTCGAAAAAAACCAAACTCGAAAAACTCGAAAACGAACCGAATCGAAAAAAACTCAGCTCTAAAAACTCGAAAACGAACCGAATCGAAAAAATCCGAACTCGAACAGCTCGAAAACGAACCGAATCGAAAAAACCCTAGCTCGAAAAAAATGCACCGAACGTCGGCTCGAACCGAAAACGGCAACCCTACTCATAAATTTAAAAAATATATTCCCAGTCGGTCAATCTCTGTCTGCATAAATTATACCGATCGGGGAAAAGCTGTCTCTCAACCACATTAATTTTTAAAAATGGCTTTAAATTTTATTTCTCTTTATAAATTAACTCTAACGAAACTGTTGCAGCAAAATTTCTGCAACAACGCAGTATATTGCAACCGTAACAGATTCTGTAAAAGTGGTTGTGTTATGAAAGCTGCTACAAATAATTCCCATGGTTCACATATACCTGTTTGGCATTGTACATATACGCTTGCAATAAATCAAAGGGTTTAAAACTAAATACCTGGGGGGGGGGGTTAAGACCAATTATAGGGTTTAAAAACAAAAGGTTTAAGAAGATCCCGATCCCGTTCCTGTCTCTAGAAATAAGGACTTATTAAGTCAGAATTTGGGGACTCTAAGATACTTATTGATATATTATTTTTATTGATATATTATTTATTGATATATTATTTTAATGTGATTTGTTCAACAATTTAAAAATAAAATAATTAAATATATCTATTGAATATAATTATTCTGTCGAACTACAGCATACTACCGCTTCCCACATACATGCTCCTAGCTGAACATAACTGAAAATTTTAAGTAAAATTTAATTTTAATTATTAATAGCAATGAAAGACTATTAAAAAAATATTTTTTACCTGCAAAGATCTTTAACAAATGGATTACAATACCATTTTGATCCACTATTCAATTAAAAATAATTTTATTTAATATTAATATTAAAATTAACTTTGGACAGCCATATGCGCTGCATGGACACGTTCCATCAGCTAAAACAGTTTCTTGAAACATTATAAAAAATATGATAAAAAAAATAATTTTTATTTTACTTAAGCTCATTTTTGGTTAAATTTATTTATACAATATTTTAAAATTAATTTGGATAACTGATTTTTTATAGAATAATTTAATAATTTATATAAAGCTGAATTTATTAGGATTTTTTATTTAAAAAATTTCACAATACAAGATTGAGAAAATGTCGCGTTACACAATTAGAAAGAGAGAAATTCCGCTTTTCTCAAGGTGAAATTCATTGTTTGAATGTGAGTGTTTTGATTATTTGTTTAATATAAATAAATGCTAAAAATGTTATTCAAATAAATTTTATAGATTTTAATTTTTTATTAATTATTTTTGAATAGAATTAAAAATTATTTTAACCTTATGATCCTCAAAATTTAAATGTTTTATCATTTTTTAAACAATTAAAAAATATTTCTTACTAATTTTAGTCATGAGTAAATGTTAAAACAAACATAAACAATAAAAATAATTTTAGTCTTCGAATTTGGAATATTCATATGATTAAAATATTGGATTTATTTAATGATAAAATAAAAAAATTTCTCGCTTTTAGTGTTAAATTAATTGTCAAAACTCGTCATTTTATAAATAAAATTTTTCTTAAAGGAAGTAA